GCAAGATTTTGGCACCATTCGATCCGTCTCATCAAGACAAATCGAATGGTGCCAAAATCTTGTGATTCTGATCGATATATCATATGAAATTTATCGTAAACGTTTACTTGTGTCAAATTAAATAACTCTATCTTGGGCTATTTTGGTTTAATAGAGTATCTCGAGAACTATCAATCAAAATCACATGATTTTGGTACCGTTCGATTCATCTCGATAAGACAAATTGAATGGTATCAGAATCATGTGATTCTGATCGATAGTTCTTAAGATATCATTATGCGCCAAATTAGATATTGTGCCAAATTAGGTATATCTACCTGACATACTTATGGTTACAATGATAATTATAAATTTACCCTTTTTGACTTTTGTATTACAAACTGGTATCAAGAAACATGTATATTTTGATTAAGAAATAAAAATTTCACAACAATAAAGTTAAAATTAACAAAGTAGATACAGAAATTTTAGCTTCATTCATCAATACTATAATTAACAATATTTTAAAAAAACATTTTATTAAATCAAATTAAAAAAACAAAACTCACTAAAAAGTGTTTTTTTTTTTACTATATTATATGTATATACAAGATGTTATAGATTGGTAATTATTTAGTGCGATAATAGTTAACTGCTATACAGTTACTCTGAATAGATTTTAGTAATAATATGCATGTTATACTATATATGATAATATATATATTACGCTATATAATTTTACACTTAAATATCTAAGTCTAATAATGTACAACATATCACAGCAGAGTTTACTAATTTTTTCCCTCTAGTTTCCATTAAACGAAGAAAAATCTTGCCTTTCAATCAAATAATATAAGTATTGTTGAAACAGTGCAAAGGTCTAATAGAAAATATATTATTAAAAACTTTTACAAAGAATTTTTTTTGTTGAAAAAACTTCAAAAACTTTGATTTTTTTTATCTGATCTTATAATTTAATTGGTAGACAAAGAGTGGTGTAGTCTACTTTGTCCAATCAGAGACAGTATTTACAAATACCCAATCAGAACTGGTGAGAGACATTAGAGATTCTATCACAGCACCTTATTATTAATTATTAATATATAATGATAAGACAATAATTCTTTGAGTTACAAAAGATTTCTATTTCTATATAGTTTTCTCAGTAATTTGCAGTTTGTGTTAATACTGTTAGTATGTAAAGTATATGAAAACACAGGGCAGTGTTGTCTATAAACAGAAGCATGAACAAAAAATAGAATGTTTTACACAAAAAGCTATAGATATTGAAAATATACAATACTGACACAAGCCTGATCAAATAAACTAGCGAATGATAATAAGAAAGAAACTATGCAAGTAGAAAGAAAGACCAATTTTTTTTATTAAAAATTACAGAACTAAAGTGGTCTACTAGTAGTTTTTGTTTGTAATATTGACTTTGACGTGAAAAAAAATAAGGATAATAGCAAATAAGCAGGAATATTAACTAAATTAAAATAGAAAGAATAGAATCTATAGTATATACTAAATCGAAGAGTAACAATTGTATGAATATAGTTGCTGTTCAAATTAACATATTATTGTCTTGTAAATAATATGTGTATAAAATATGTGAAAGTCAAAGATCGTGGATTTAATAATTTACCAAACTTACTTGTACATAAGTTGACTTAAAGCAAAGCAAGCTTGAGATAACGAAAGATTAAAGTAGCTAATTGGTGTAGAGATAGGAAAAAAAAAAACTTTGTAATATGAAATTCTGTAATATTTTGCTATATCTTAGGATCAAATGAACATTATTACTACAATGTCAATATACAAATAAGATCAAGAAATAAACATTTTATATTGAATCAGATATTAAAGACAAAAAGAAATCTAACTCCTAGGTCATTTGAGAATATAGTCACATATTCGTTAGAACCTCTTAAAAGATACAAACATTTAAGTTGAATATAATTAGAACTTAAGAAGAAATATAAGATTAGTGAAAAAAATCTTGATCATGTGATATTTGTGTATAATATAGATTATCATTAAATATTATTTTATTTTCGTAATTTTTGTTAAAATTTCAGATTATAGCAACAAGCAAAACAAACAAAGAAAGTTCAAAAAAAAGATATAGGTTCTTTTTAGAAAATGAAGAAAAATTTAGTTCAGAAGTCAAAGATACTCAAACAACAGCAATAGCTATTAGTGAGATAATAGATACCTCTAATGAACAAATCTCGATAGCTGTATATTTACCAAGTGCATCTCAAAATAAGAATAAGCCTCATCAATTTTCTGAGATATAAGATTACTTTATCAAAGAAACCGAAAAAAATAATGGCCACTATGAGGCTACTTGTAGTTATTGCAAAAAAAAATAGTCACGAAGAAAAATAGTACAACTAGAAGCATATTTATCAAATAACTGTATTAGTTGTCCAAATGATATATCCTGTTATTGGAAAGAAAAGGTTGCCAAAAGAGATCCAAATTATACTCGAAGGCTGAAAAAACTGTACACTACCAAACTCTATGCCACAAACAACAATAACCTTCTATTATACATCAGACCATTCACCGTCAAAAGCTATGACTAACTGGCTTGATCAAAAAATAATCAAAGCATAGATAATAGCAGAAATTCTTTTTGATGTCATTGACAATTCATTTATTCAGGATATATTCAAAAAACTTACCCTGCCTATAACCCACCTTCGAGAACAACTTTATTGAACCAATTGTTTGATGAAAAATTAGTATGAGTAAATAAAGCAATTGACGATAATCTAAATAAAGCAGAGCTTTTGACTTTAGGTTAGTATTATTAAATGTTATTTATATTTCGTATTAAAAGTTCACATTCTTTACAAATAACTATTTCAAATAAAGATAATCTACAAATAGTAATACATATAACGCATACATATAACATTTTTATTTAAAGTTTTATTTCATTATTAAAAATTTTAATAAATATTTTTTGAAAAATATAAAAATATGATCTTTTAGTACGGAGTGCCCTCTTATAGCAATTTTTGATTACTAAGCCCTAAAATTATTAATTAACTTTATTATAAAGCTTTAGATGGTTAGACGTTACTATCGACAGAGTCAATTTACAATTATATTATTATAACAGATACTTAAAAAGAATATCTGGTCAGATTAATAATTATTCAAATTGGTTATACACTGGCAAATTTTTGGCAAGTGAGATATCAAAAGTTATTGAAAAGCTTGATTCAGATAAATTTGCAGCTATTGTAACAGATGCAGCATCAAACTGCAATATTGTATACCAAAAAATACAAGAAATGTATCTATATATCTGGAATGTTAGATGTACTACACATGCTATTAACCTTATTGCAGCTAATTTAGTTGAATTAGAAAATGTAAAAAAATTAATTAGTAATTGTAGAAAAATTAATTGTTTTTTTAAAAACTCACATTCAAGCCATTCATTATTTACAAGAGGTCTTGTGAATATGAAGATTAAGGGTGGTAGGTTAAAAATATAGGTAAAGACTTGATGAAGATCTTTATACTTAACTACTAATTCAATGATTCGTATACATCCTGTATTCAACTGGGTAAATAAGTTAATACTGTAATAGAATATTATTATAAATTATTATTACTAAATAAATTTTTATTATTAGATACTTT